TCGGGGGGGGGGGGGCAAAACGGCTTTTGTGCCGAGCCATTTTCCATGAAGAGACACGTCACAAAGCATGTGTTCCTTAAATATTTTTCTGCAGCTCGAATCGAAAACTTCATTTAATAGAGACCGTTTTGCCTTAATATCAAAATTAATAGGCATTTTCTACATTCGGCATCAATTGAAGACATTGTGATAGCAACGAAACATTTTTCGATAAAAATTACGTTATTTACGAAATTTAATTTATAATAATAAAAAAATACATGGACTAATATAAAAGAAAGAGAACAGTACAATACTGTCTGTCGTATAATACCAACAACCTTCATATCTCTGTAAACATTACAATTATTTAAGTAGATCAAAATCTAATTTATTTATTATTGAGTTTCACTAAAATATGGTAATTATTTTTAATTGATTAACCGATTTCTCGTTTTTGAGAGGTCAGCTCGTTCATAACTGCCTCTAAACTCATTTTCTAATTAAAAACTTTATGGAAAGATGATTTTGGAATACAAAATCTTATAATTTCAACCTTCAGTTTGGCTATTTACCCTTAATAGAGTAAATAATCAAACTGAAAGTTTTGATAATTAACTGGAGGTTTAATGATTGTGCTATCGTAATAGTATGATAAATGTTTAATTTTTATTTAGCATTGTAATTAGCAATTATTTACCTAATTCACTATTTTTATTAAATTACACATACATGTAAATGTTATTTTAGTAAAATATGAATAAAAAGCTTTTATGAATATAAACATTTTTACGGTTGGCAACTAATAGGCTAATATTTATTTAAAAGTTATTTTCACTTCCTTAAGATAAGGGTTCTATCTACAAATTGGAAATTTAAATTAATTATCATCATGATTACAATTAATTAATTGAAATTGTAAACGAAAATAATTGAGAATATTGTCAATAAGTTATGACAAATGTACAAAAACTACTTTGTTTTATACAGTTCAACCCAAGAAAACAGTACAGGAATTGTAATTTCTAGATGTATTAAAAATACGATCAATTTAACTACATCGGTCGTATAACATTACATATTACGCTACATTTGTTTGAACACAGTCATCCACCTTAAATATTTAAAAAATATTTATTTTGTAATTTAAATTTAATATTTTCTGTCAAATTGTCGAATACACCAAAAAATAATGCAGTGGATAATATATATAACATAGTTGAATAGCAACCAATTTATATTAAAGTAAAAAACTTCACATACAAATTTTATCTATTTTAATTAACACGATTAAAATAATTGCATCCCCGTCTTAATTAACAATAATCATTTTTGGCATTAATGATCAGTGGTCGCAAGTTAAATTCACCAGCTGATCATTAACATCCAGAATGCACCGCTATTGTAGGATAAATCATTGTAAGTATTTCTTTTTTTTTTTTTTATTAAGAATCTCAAATCCTGACTTTATTTTCTAGCGGTGTTTGTAATATTTATTATTACCAATTATGTTTGAAAATTTAGATCCGTCAGTTCTATTCCTATTTTCAGTAACTTTAATAGTGTTTACTTATTAACTTTAACAGGTATAATTAATTACAATCCGTGTTCGAAATTCTACTATTTAATACCCTTTATCATCCTTTTCCGATTGCGATCATCAAATAGTAACCAGCTATGCCCAAGAGGAATAATTAAATAGGCTAAAAAATATGTTTAAATAAAAAAATGTATTATTGATAAAAACATAAATAATATTTGAAATATGATTGATTGTATTATATTGTTCTATAGAGTATTAATATTATATTAATGAGAATTATTGAAATAAATATTATAAATACACTAAAATTGTGAATATTAATCAATTTCTAGTTTTTCAAACCTAAAGAGTAGTAAACGCTTTAACAAATAAAATTACTAGGCTTATGAATAATAATTATATAGTATATAATTTTTGGGATATATTACTTAATGTTTTTAAGACTGTTACTCTGTGATTTTTTGGTATATATTACATATTGAAAACTAGTATTGAGGACGTAACTATGGTTTTTTATAAAGCAATTATATTAGCAATAATATAATTTTTCAAAATTTGTTGGTTACTGACAGAGGCGATCATTTGGAGGGTTATTCGCTCCTTAGCTCAATGGACATTCTGGACTCATCAAATTTGTATCAATTAGTAAACATATTGCTCATTCAAAGGTTTAAAAATTCAATCTGAACAGTTTTTACGAGTGAATTCGAACAAAAGTAAATAAGTAATAACATTGAACTAAAATTATTATTTTACTTTTTGCTTTAAATATGTTTTTTCTTCAACAATTATTAGTTGACAACTTCTTGTTGTTGACAACAATTTTTAATAGCTTTTTTTACTATTTTATTAAAAATAACAACAAAATTAATAACTATAATCACTTTTTTGTATAATGTATGGTGTAGTGTGATGTGAAATATTTAATTAATGGGTTTTGAGAGTGTTGTAAACGGCTAACAAATGTATACCATTCTTCATCAATGCGAGTTACACAAGCGTTAACGTAATTAACATATTTTCTCCGTAAGCTATTTCGTCATTTATTTTATATATTTTTTATGGTTATGAACTAAATTAAAGGTACAAAAAAATCGAAAAATGGTTAGATAAAAGCAATCCCTGATTAAGAGGATCCAGAAGGGAATAGTACCCAAAGCCTATCGATTTTGAAGGCCTATTCAGGTGTGATTAACATAATCATTAAGACTCAATAAATTTCTCTTTTCAACATTATTTTTTTTTTTATTTGAAATTTATCAAATGTTTGTCAATTAATTGAATATTTCCAATAAATACTATTTTGAAATACAATTTATTGTTTTATTCTTAATTATTTATTATTATTTTTCACTTTAAAATATATTTCAGTTGAAATATTTATTAAACAATTTTTTCTTAATAATGTGATTAATTTATTTTTTAACGTTGACTTCTACATAAAAGTACTTAAAAAAAAATATTTTTACATAAAACTAAGAAAAGTTTTTAGTAATTGTACACCAAAATAAATGGCAACTATAATATTTTTCGTTTTCGTAGTAAAAAGTGATTTTATAAAGATAAAAACTGTTAATTATCTTATTAATATAATCTGGAGTTTATCTATTGGCGTAAATAAAAGGGAACATGGGGAACTATCTTGCTTAGTAGTTTTAAATTTGCTCCTTTAAAAATTTATATAAAAAATATTTATTATTTTATCGAAATATTTTTTAGAGTGGAGGATATACATTACGTCCCTCTCCAATTTATTAGTTTTTTTCGATTATGAAGTAGCTCCTTAATCGCATAGTGATAAAAATATAGTAGTATAAATCCTCCTGTATAGGATGATCTCCTGTTGAAAGCCCTTCAAGGGGGGGGGGGATTGATAAGATGCAGTAGAATGATATTTAAAATTTTCCTTGGGACATTTCATTATTTAGTATACTTTAAAAAAATTATTTACGAAGTCATTTGAACCACTTGTGTCGAGGCACAAGCCATTTTTAAGATTTTATAACAAAATATTGTGTGACTTTTGGTATAATTCAATAAAATATATGGAAAATGTACATAATAAGTTTGGAATAGGTTGTTTAAATAAAAATTAAGATAAAAATGCAGCCTTATATTATAACAAGTATTCTATTATTTTTGAATAAGGTACAACATAAAACTATGTTTTTTGTCGATTGTAATAAAAAATACATTGTTAATAAAAATATTATTATGCTGATCCGTTTAAAACATGACATATTGATTTTTCTATTATTATAAAGTTTAAATTAAGCATAAATATGACTTTTAATTAATTAATTTAAAATAAATTTTATAACCATCTGATTAATTTATAAACCTATTTTACATGAATCTTACAAAAACTTGTTTAAAGGTTTAGACATGTATGTTTTTATGAATTAATTAAATCAAAGATCTTTTATTGTTTAAGTTTAAATAAAACAGGAAATAAAATATAAAATTCCTGTACTATCCTTCTTTTAAAATTAATTTTTTTTGTTTTTGACAACTTAAATTATGTAGTTATGAAACATTTTCACTTAGAAAAAATACATATAAAAATATACGCATATATTTATTTTTCTTCATTTTCTCTATTTTAACAACGTTGCCAAAAACCAAATCATGTCCATAAAAGTAAAAAATATTATTAGTAAATAGATCTATAATATCTTATCATTATTAAAATATTGTAATTATCTAAAAATAAATTGTTATTGATATTTCAGCATACCAACATTTTAGGTCACGTAAATTTAGTTACTCCGTTGCTTAATTTAATTAATTGATTTAAAAGCCATGTGAACTCTTATAGAAGTAACCGTACTGAGATTGTATATATAGAACTAATCATACAATAAATTATTTGTAAAATAAAACACCTAATTTTAATTGTTAGTTTAATCATAATTATATGCTATTAACGTTACAAATTATTAGTTAGTATAACAAATTTATTAATTGTAATAATTTTTTTTTACTTATTTTCACTTTGTTATAAAATTATTTAAGTGTTTATAAAATAGTACAAGGTTAAATAAAGTAACTATCCCATCTAGTATGTTGTTATTAATAAAAAAACACTGCATGTATTACTAACTTAGTGTATCTTTGTATAAAATACAGGTTGATTTGTTTCAAAAGCTGATTTGTTCAAAATAATATATTAATTTGCATAACTCATTTTTAATAGATTTTTTTTTTACAGAAAATATTGTAGAAGGAAATTTATTCCAAATTATATAACCATTAAATATCAATGTGTAACTTATTTTCAAATATTATATTTTGAATAATTTATCACATTTGTAAATATTTCATTGAATTAATTTAAAAATCATAATCGCATTAATGCTTAATGTAAGAATGAATTATTTATTTTCAATAATTTTTTTTTTATAAATTGCTTTCTTGATATTTTGTTATTTATTGAATTAATTTTTCAAACTTTTAAATGTATGATAGTTATGGTTATCATTGTAACGACATCGGAGATAAATTGGTCAGCGTATATTTTATATATCAAACAAAAAGTACATAAAAAAATTTGTAAATACTAATGCAATTTTAATGATTTTAGTTCCCTAGATATAGATTGAATATACAACTATGGCCTTAAAGGTGATCCTTATTATATGTGAATAAGACCCCTTAATCATATAAGATTATTTATTTCGGACTGTAAGTACAAGAAAGCTGTATCTCGAAAAAAGTCGTTTCGATATAATCGGCTTTAAAGTTACGACCTTCTATAAGAGTGTTACACTGAGTATTACTTTGTTTTTATTATTTATATTCAGTTCAGGTTAACTTTAATAAAATTTGGTGTCATATTTAGATAGAGAATAATAAATAATACTAATTTATATTATAATGTCAAATTTTCGATATATAGTTCTCTTGCACTCATACCATTATATCAATACCATTTATTCTATTAATCATTAAATAGATTTAAATTATTGATTATTCTTTAATTTTTCTTAGTATAGTTTTAGCAACAATTTTAGTCTTATAAATATCTCTCAATAAAATAAAGAACTACCACTTAACAACAACAATGTTTACTATTGTTATATATTTCATATTTAATCCATAAATGTGATCTAATTATGAATAAATTTAAAATAGTATGTAGCCAGGAAAGTAAATAACAACTAACAAGACGTTTTTTGAATGCATTTACTTTTTCATTTGATTTGGAATGACCTAATAGTTTATTGCTTAAACATATGTAATTAGATACTGGTAATATATATTACCGATACCTTCGTATAGTACGCTAGAAAAGAGTGTTTTCCTAGTTTTTTATCATCAAAATAAATCCTAAACAAGAACCTAATAGTGAAAAAGTTTTAAGCTCTTGCCTCCAAAAAATTCCTCTTATCAAAGTAGTGATATCTACATTGTAGCCAAGTTTACTTTTTTTTATTTAGTTAATAAATTTCAATCCTACTTTCATGAGCAGAATTGCTCCTTTAATTGTATCGATTAAAAATTGATCATTTTTTTAACAAGCCATACAACAAATAATGTTTCAATTGAATCCTGCGAGGTGATGCGAACAATTTTTCTATTCTTCCGAGTTCTCTTTCTCATCTCTCACGTGATTTCTAAATGAGTACTGAACCAGTACTTAGCCAGTTTCTGGCCAAATGTTAAGCAATACAAATAAAGGAGCAATTTACTCATAAAAGTAAGAATAAAGTTTATGAACTAAAAAATGAACAAATTTACCCAGAATGTCTATATCACTTGATAGGTGGATTTATTTTGGAAAAGAAGGTGTAGAACTTAATGCTTTCCCAAAGTAAGATTTTTATTGAGGATATCATTCCTTTTGCTGACTTAAGCCAGCAAAATACATAATTTCACACGTGTGATTCGCATTTATGAAGCGTGTTAGCACAAAGACTAGTTTGAGCCTTACAATTATATTGGACAAGGTCGACAAGAAAATAATATACTTTTTTATGGTTACAATATTTATCAGTAGTGGCATCAACACCTATAGAAAAGAATCAATGGTAAAATTATTTCATTTACAAAATTGCCACCATCTGGAAAAGAGCTTTATTTTTAATTAGATTTCTTTATCCTTTGATTACTCATAAAATTTTATTAGTTATAGATTTGCGAGCTTTGGAAAAAACATTTTGATAAACATTTTTGTGATTTAAAATAATCATGTTGTGTAAAATAACAACTTTAAGTTTGTTTTTAGCATATTTTTTCTATGATTCCAAACTAGCTAAATGTTCTAAAATACCAGCTCTATCATTACGTAAGTAGTAAATAATTTATGATAATTTATTTATACATTGAACATACTAACTAAAAATTTATGAAAAAGAAAATATTTTGATAATTTTTTTAACTAACTCTAAAGTAGTTCAAGACTTTTATAATTAAATATGATTATTTTTAGTTGAAAATAAATTTTTTCTATTTAATTACATAACTCGATTTACGGGTATAATTTCAGAGCAGAAGTAAACTTTTTTGGCTCCCAAATTTGATCATATATATTTTTTAAAAAAAGTTCTTATTATTTGTGGAAAAAATTAAATCACTTTTATTGCGACGGCAACAGAGGCAATTTTTTAACCATCATATCCTTACTAAGGCTTTGTTTAGTTATTCCCTGATGACTGAGTTTACCCTGTGTATTGAAATATTCTAATTGACTTTAAGTTACAATTGCATGCAAACCGTTCTTGAACTAATATCTATAATTATCAATCGAATTAATAAATAATGACCAAACATGCTAAAGTTGTAAATAGATAATCAATAAAAATAAATAAATAAAATACTTAATAAATGTCCACCTACTTTAATCACTTAAATTTTTAAGATTAATTTTTTTTTAATGAGTATTAATAACTAAATGAGTTATTATTAGGTGCATATTATGCTTTGGATAATGTTATTTATTTTACATTGACAAAAATGATGATACAATATTAAGTTATAAATAACTACTTAATAAACTTTAAGTTATATGAAAATCGAATTAAAAGATAATTAACTTAACCTTGACCAGCAAACTTATCAATAAATTAATCAAACTTTATTCATTGAACATTAAAATGCATGAGCATATATTATTTATTACCGTAGTAGCATTTTTTTGTCTTGGTTTTATACTATTATATGTTTTTAATTTTTTTATTAAACTTTTACGGTTAAAAACTCTACAAGGATATAATTTTAATAACTCTCATATTAAGTCATACGTTGCGTTACTGTTGAGATGCTTAATTTTCTCACGCAGTCATCAACAACAAATGAGAATTAAAAAAAAATAATAATACCTTGATTTTCCTTGTTAGCAATAACTATTCAACATAGATAAGTAATAAGAATTAATTACTAAAATATAGTTTTTAAATATTGTATTGTATTATGAAATTAGGAAATAAATATTAGATGTTTTTATCATGCTAGTATCTACTTTAATACTACCAAATAATTCTATCGGTTTAAATTATAAAATATATAGTATTGTGTCAAGTATACACGCAAAAAATGGTTAACTATTTTAACACTACGTGTGGTTGTAGTCATACCCAACTACATGTAGATATTCAACTAGCTAGTTGAGTCTTGATTTTAATTATGTTTACAGGGTTAATACTAGTAATAGTATCAATGTGTCTAGCGCTATCTCATTTAAAAAATATTGATATAGATAAACTTAGATTCAAATTAATCTCAACTCGTAAGAATTTAAATCACGAGCTCGATATTTTTATTATAAATTTTTACACTTCTTATTTTAAAATGTATCAATGTTCAACATAATGTATTCAATTCAATGGTCCGGTGTAATTCACAAAAATTTAAAAAGGCTCAACCTGACCCGTGATATCTAACATCATTAGTTGTAGTTAAAACAATTCTAATATTTTTTTGTGTGTAATAATTCATTGTTTCCTAAAATGGTAATTCATTCATAATCTCCTTTCACTTTTAAATCATAAATACCCAAATAAATATTTATATTATTATTTACCAGAAATTCAGCTTAAAACATATATTTTTAATTTTAGGCAATTCATTTATGATCTAATAAATTTATTTATTTATATTTAAAATAAAAATCTTAGTAAAACCAACAAATATTTTATTAATATAAAATATTTATCAATCACACAAATATTTTTTTCCAGTAACAAAAATATGATGAGTTAACAATAAAAAATTTGTCGTCCGTATTTTTTTTCAATGTTGCCAATATAATTGAACCTTCTTAACTCATCTAAGGACAAACTATGGATTCATCTATGAGCTTAATTGACAATAGATAAATTAAATAAAACATACTTAATGCTACAAAACATTAGAGCCTATTCATCAATGATATAGGACAAAAAATTACGGAATGACATACTATTCATGGAGTCTGGTGCTGGTCATTATTTTTGGTAATAGGAACATTTAAGTTAGATTAAACATTTTTCGGAGAGCCTTTTTGTTTTAACGCTAGGTCAGTGTCATATCTAGAATAAATACCCCTGATAGTACCTAATTCACTCAAGCTATTGTTATTTTAGTGTTGTATGTAAACGAATAATAAAAAAAAAAAACTTGCGGTGTTTCATTCTAAGTTTTGAGTACGATATTTAATAATTACTTACGCAATTAAAATTTTTAATAATATATTCAATTGATAATTTATACTAGTTAAGTACTTCAAATTCAGTATTTTTTTTTTTCAGTAAGTAACAAAGATTTGATAAATTAAGTAACATTTAGGAAATTATAACCTACTACAATTTTAGTAGTTTTATTAAAAAACTATTCTTGTTAAAATAAATTAAAAATTTTGTTTATTTAAGTTTCGACGTAAGTCTAAATACCTGACTAATATTAATAATAATTTCTATGGTTACATTATTCATAATAATATATGAATACATACGTACGTATCAGGTTAAAAATTTTGAAATTGTTTATAAAAATAATTAATTATAATTGATAATGTGAATTGTGATTATTTAACATATGGGTAAAAGTGCCGGAGGATCAGCCGTTTTTATAATATTTGTAACACAGTACGTTAACCTTCGGATTTTACACAAGTGGCAGAAGGCATATCAAGACACGAAACTACATAAAAACAACAAATAATTTCTTTTCACAATTCTATAAATCGCATAACTATTCCATACTATCACAAATGTTAATAATGATGACATTGACACGTTTATCTCAGTATCAACGGTGCAAACTTTTACTAAGTTAGAAAATAATAGTTTATTGATTCATTTGAATTTTAACGTCGTTGCACTTGACCGCTGTACTGTCTGATGATGAAATTATGAATATCAATAAATTCTGTTGATATTTAAAGCATAGATTTGCATATAAATTTATACTTTACTTTTGAATTATAATTATTTGTCAATTATTGTTATATTTGTTATCTTCATATTATTTGTATGTGTAATTGAAAATTATATTTATGTCAAGTGTAAAACATTATTGGATTTAATTAATCTAACTAACCTAAATAAAAAACATTTTGTTTTAAGTTCAATATTTTCTATTTTAGATATCAATGTAGTTAATTTAAATTAAACGTTTACTGGCAATATTGTTACAGCTACTTACATTGGTAAAGGCTGCCTTAGAGATGATCCCAGTCTAAACGAGTGCGTTGTGCGCAAAGGATCTGCAGTTATTAGCCGAATAGTACAGGGAGACCCTAAATATAGAATACCAAAGTTGGATCCGTTAATCATACCAGAAATGACAATTCAACAGGGTACTAAGCAAGTAGGGCTTACCATGAGGTGCAAAAACTGCGAGTTGCATGGACTTAAAAATACAAAATTCGTTAAAGCAAAGTTAGTATATATAATATTTAAATCATTATTATTTGGTTAATTATGCATAATTAACCGACCAAAAATTTATTGCACTAATTATTCGAAAATTGTAACACTGTAGTGTCGATGAAAAGAAGAAGCACGTCATTTGGAACTTTGAACTTGACCGGTGTATGTTTCTTGGACTTTACTCAGTTGAAGGACAAGTTCTTATACTACCCATCAAAGGAGATGGTAATGCCAACATCACAGTCAGTAAGTATAATTGCATTTTTGTAACATTTAATAGTTTAATATAACAAACAAATATATTTAAAACTTACATTATTTGATACGTGTGCAGCTGGAGTAACATTCTCGTACGAGTACGACTATAAATTAGAAAAAAAAGCAAACAACAGAGATTATACAGTTATTACAAAGAGTGATTTACGGTTCAATGCTACTGGAATGGTATTAAAATTAGAAAATTTATTTAATGGAGACAAACTATTAGGTAAATAACCATTAATAGTTATATATTGTATTAACAAATAAAAAGTACTTACTGAAACTATCATAATTACAATAATTTTATGCCATTATTATATTTTATCTGTATCACAATACTAATAGTATTCATAAACGCTATTTTTTTTTTAGTCATCAAACATTTTTTAAAAGTATACTTCCGGAAAAAAACAAGAGAAACCCACACTTGCCCATCCCTAATGGATGCCCATGAAAGTGTTGTATATTAATTATAAATTAAAAATGTTTAACATTTCAAAATAATATCATATAATACAAGTAGACCCGTGGGGGTGTAAGGACTCACCACACCGCAAGTAGCCTTTCCAAGATTTTTCTTATATTACAATAAATTACATTTATTAAGTCTACCTTTATATACTATGCTTCCTTTCTTATAAATAAACAACACAACACAAATTCATAATATAAAATATTTATTTTTTTAAAACTTATAAATACAATAATTTTAGCTTCGATGCGAAGCTGAGAAGGTATTGGTTTTACTAAGATGTGTTATTTTTTTTTTTTGTGTCTGTTACCACTTTTTCTCAGCTCTCACCGAACCGATTTCTTTCAATGATACGTCAAAAGATCACAAATCGTATCTAGTCGAAGACATTACCCTCAAAAATTGAAAAAAATTCCCTCGTTCCCCGTAAATGGGGGAAACCTCCGAAAAAATTACAAATTTAAAAATGGCTATTTTTCGAAATTTTTTCAATTTTTTTTACTAAAAACTGCCATAACTTTTTTAAAAATCAACATATTAATACATTTCTTTTTTTTTTTTATGCATGATGTCATTACCTATCATTTGGTATATTTTTTTTATAAATCTGACTTTTTACCTGCTTACAGGGGGGGATTCAAAATGACAACTTTTTCACAAAAAATTGACTTTTTCAACTTAAATTTTGAAAGTGTTTCCTGAAAGTCTGACACTTTTCTATATATATTAAATTAAAACTAATGTAATATACTTTATTATGGTAAAAAAAAATTTCGTACTTTATTTTGTCTTCAGGGTGAAATTGGCTACCAAATGCTATTATTGTTTGAAAATTCTCGATTTTATTTTTTTATTTTTAACTTTATAATGCTATAACATATTGAAAAGTGTATTGATCAATATAATTTTTTTATGAGAAATAATATTTTTTAATAATCCCTCTTTCATTCGATATACTTTATCTGAATCAGGATATTAATAACGAACTAGCAGATCATGTTGCTTTTGGAATAATCCACCTATTTTTTAAAATTAAACACTATCTAAAGATTTGCATCGAAGCGTTTTTTATGATAGTGATTTTAATCACTGTCAGATATCATTATACTTGATCCAAATATGTCACGTCACCACTGTGCCGCGACCCCCTGTGCTGGGTTTTTTTTATTTGACAAATCCTTTTCAATATAAATCACAGATATATTTTTAACAATTGTTCAAAAGGTGATTCAAAATCGATGAGTTTAATAAATGTTTGGAAAGAATAAGGTTCTCCCATTTTTCGCCTATGCATTTTAAGTAAAAAAAGTCATAAAAAATAATCATTATTATAAAGTTATAGGAAAATCTTCTTACGCTATCTGAAAAAAATTTTAAAGACGTGCCTGATCATAGGGTCTTTTTAGTTAATGTGATTCTTTCGACTAAATTACTATTTAATATACATTAATTTAGTGATCCCTATATACATATATTACCGTCGTATCAGATATTATTTATTGCAACCGCAACACATCTTATATATTATATAAGATATGTGGTATATGATAAGACAATAAATATATATTTAAACAAAAAATGACAAAAATTTGTGGGTGGTGGTATCTTAGTAAAAATTTTTATATTTTGCAATACATTTAACATTTGATATCGACGCCATTGTATGGCATTGATTAGGATTAAAAAAAATACCAAATACTATACAATATTGTTGACGCAAAAAAATCAAATTAAATACATTCTAACATTCAAGGTTGATGCTTTTTAAATTCGATCATTAGAAAGTACCTACTAAAGTTAAATCAAAATTTTTTTGTCGTTTTTGAGAAATCTAATATACAATAATGTTCAGTAAATAAGGAAACAGGTAAATTGTTCTCATTGTAACAATTTACCCGTTTCTTTACTTACTGAACATTCTGTATGTTTTTAAAATGTGATTTTTGAGATTCGACCTTATAGATAGAATAAAATTAATTTGTAATTAAAATCATTATTATTATTATTAATATTTATATAAAAAATATGGATCGTAGATAAATAATACTTTTGTTATTTTTGACCATTTAACACTATTTTTAATAGATCTATTTTTTTTTACCAGACTTTCCGGGATTTTATTGTCATACGTAATTTTATCTCAGGAAAATCCTAGACATCTATATCTAAACTGTTTATTTTCTTTAAACTTGTTCTAATTTTTAATTCAGCAATGTTAAAATATTTCTGCATACTGTAAATTAAAATACAAACCTTTATTTTTTAGGAGACAACATGAACTTATTTTTAAATGAAAATTGGAAAGATTTATTAAAAGAATTTGGACCAACAATTGGAAACGCTCTAGGTACAGTTATGAAAAATACTCTTGGATCCGTTTCAGAATTAGTTCCATACGATTTTATATTTCCTACAAGTTAAATAATATTCATAAAAATTCCTCAATTAGCACTAATAGAACAATTTTTAATTAATAGATAATACAGCTTATTAATTAATGAAAACAACAAGTCTATCGAATGATGCTTTAGCGTAAACTGTTTTGCTATTTATATGTCTTGAGATTTCCGTTTTTGTTTAATAATTATTAATAAGTTGTTCCTAATATTGGATGTTATTTTTTACACATTCAAATTCAAAAAAAAAATCTTGATAGAAATATGAAGTGTCCCGGTATGTTTAGTTGTAAATACGTTTATTTTATTGTGTAATTAATAAGGATTTTTTTGTTTAACTAAATTTTTTAATGACAAATCTATTTATAGTTTATTTTTCAAATTAAATAAAATAAAACGAAGTTATTTGTTTTTTAATACCAATTCAGTAAAACGTACAAGTTAAACCATTATATCTCATTAAGATTTCACTTTACTGCATAGTTTAGAAAAACCAACCATGATGTTCCTCATTAACTTAACAATATTTGAAGTTAGTTACAATTCGGGTTTTTTAAATTGTTAAATCAATGATTGACCACACCAAGCAGGAACTTTTTTTCTTTATAATTGTTAAGCCTGCAATATTCAAAAATCTAAATTGCCTAAGTATTGGGATTCTGTTTTCTATGTCAGATCTCTTATGAAAATTCCCTAATGTTAAAATATAAACACGTCTAAAGAAATATTATGTTTTAATAAATTCCTATTCATATTGTATCTATAGTTTTATAAATTTATGTTTTACAATATTTATATAAATATATTAACAAATAAGTTTTTAGAATTGAATTTATGTCTGGAATTCTTATTTTTAAGCATTAGGCATACTAAAATATTCATAATAAAAGGGAATTCAAGAGCTATTTACATTGTAATACTTAACATGGTAATAATAAAGCAGATAACTTTGCTCTCTATATATTCACAAATAGATTTTGATAGCTATTATAGGAAAAATAAATAATAAAATGTGATTTTATAAATACTTAAACAATATTTATTAAATAAAATTATAAAAGATGCTAAATATTAAAGAGAAAATGATTGCAACTATTTGTAAAGATTTTCTTTTGTCAACACCAATATGTGTTTCTGCTGTCTTTTAACTGTTATGATGAGTATATATGATGGTGGCCAAACACAAGACAATAAATTATTCTTCAATTTCACATTCAGTTTAGATCAACTAAAAATAATAGATCAATAAATTAATAATATAATTCAAATTAATTAAGATGAATATTATTCAGAATATTTTATATTAAAAAATTAATTTTAAGATTCATCAAGATTTCACAACTCTCATATAAGGTTAGATCTTATTTTGATATGGCTCTTTAATAAAAGAGAGAATGTTGAAATAAACTAACAATTATTGTATATAATAATTTAAAGAATGTAAAAATGGTCGGGTTAGTCTATTTTTGAGTTTTCAAATTTAAAAATGATTTAATAATTAACTTAACATATACTTCAAATAAATTAAATAGTGTCAAGGTAAAAATAAAATTGAATAATTGTACATACTTAAAATACTTACAAATTAATAAAATAAAATATACCTCCAATAAGATAATTTTGTTATCCATTTGTATAAGTTAAATAGCCATTTATTTGACAAAAAACCAAAGTAACAGATGATGATTTAACCATTCAATTAAAATCCTAAAATTAAGTAAAGATTTTAAGCTATTTTCTATTGAATGGAATTGTTTGATATGTATTGAAAATATATTTGATAATCCACCTATTCACTTCAATCTCTTATTCTATAAATTAATTATTAAATAATTTAACATACTAATTTGTATGTATCTAAAATTGCAGTACTTATTTATAGCATGTTTAAATAAGTAGTTACGATATTTAGAAATTAATATACCACTCACTAAACGTCCTAACTAAAATAATTAAAGTAGGAAGCTGGGGAGTGATCAATTTTAATCAATGTTATCCGTTAAGGTTGACAATCGATACTATGTTCAATGTGTTAGTCATATTAAAGTGGTATTTATCTTAAACTAAAAGCGCTAGTGGTAACTGTTCCAACAATAAGTAAAAAATAAGGAAAACATACAATTTTACATTATACTTAAAATTAGAAAAAATTAGTAAGAATATAATTTTAAGAAAAGAAAAAATGTACACAAGATGATAAAACTCATGTTTTTCTATGAAATAAATTATTTTCAAAGTAATTTTGTGTTCAAGTAGGAAAAATGTATTTATTTTTATCAATATAATATTGAGAATTAATATTTGAAATTATATATATTATTTTGTACCTATTGCAATAGCTTAAATAAATTGTTTTTATGTTCTATAAATAATAAACTTTCTACTTATTGCTACTTCTCAAATGATGGATTCAATTATTATGCAATCATAGAAATCTCAATATTTTTTTTATAAAATATATATCATACGCGTTTAATATATGTATTATACCTCATTAAATACATGTATTTACTTTAAAATATCTTAGATAAATCAACTAAGTTAATTAAATTTCCATTAATACATAAATAATAAATTAATTAATTTTTCTTCATTACTGGCATGTTAAAATTGGTTTCATTACTACTAGCACATAGTCTGCTTCAACAATGATAATAATCTAAGTACCAACCTGAGTAAATAACTGTAGTTTTAACAATATTCTATTTTATTAAAAGTTCATATATCTACATATGAGATTTCAGTCATTACAGCATTTTTCTGCAGTTAACCTTTATCAAGTTAATCAGTAGAGGGAGCCTGTTTAGGTCATCATAATAATTACTTTTCACTTTTTATACTCAGAAAATGGTAAATTCCACATTTTTAAATATGGGTTCTCTCGGAAGAGGGAGCCTAGATTTTCATCATAGTATTAAATGTCAAATATATGTAAGATATTAAAACACAAGTGTTTTCCTTGAAATTTTTTATGTTATCTCGTGATTGAAGAATTAATATAATATCATGGAATGTTCTTCATAAAAAAAAAAAAAAAATTAGGGCTCTTTCGGATAAGGGAGCCTGAAGATTACATCAGAGTAGTAAAATACAAAAGAAATAATTTATTTACCTTGTTACACAATTAAAATCAAGTTAAGTTTATATTTATATTGAAGTGATTGAAAAAAAACATAAAATTAGATCAGCACGCAGGGTTGACTTTAAGACACTAAATACATGTTTCAAATACAAACACATTTAATAAAAATGTTTGCATTTTAGACCAAAAAATTTTAGTTCTTAAAAAAATAAATAAATAAAGGAGCTTATACCCTTAATATGTAAAATATCTTGTATTTAAAACACAATACTTAATATAAAAAATAATAAGTTTTTGAACTTAAATAGCTTAATTTACCACTTACTAAACGTCCTTACTAATTAAGATTTAGTAGGAAGCTGGGAAGTGAATTAAAATTCCAATAGATAAAAATTTATTATTAACGTTTATGAGAATCAAAAACATCGACAATAACTTAATGCTGCATCAGAGTGAAGTGAATTTTTAAAAAAATTGAGTTAAATGTGTAATAGTATTAACCATAAAGGAAAATTTATTGTGAATAACCGTGGAAATTTAACTCTATATTATATGTAATAATAATAAATATTGAATTATCTTTATAATTACAATTTGAGCTTGAATGATTCAGTGTGTAACTCAAATTAAAATAAATGACTAATCTAGTTGATTAAATGATAAGGATTGACTAAGTTATACACTGAAGTTCCATAATAATAACGCTTTGAAACAGCAGATTCAATAACTAACAAAGTCCTATAAAATTGTTTTTATTTTTTGTATTTTATCTACTATCTAACAGGTTAAATACTAGTTAAACTGCTAATTATGTCTCAAAAATTCTTAAAAGTATATATTTTAATTTTCACAAGTTATTAGTGCCCTACTCATTTAACCTTTAATATCATAAAAAATATAGTTTTATCACTTTTTTATTTTTCCCCTTAAAATTGTACCAACTTTAAAATTATTAAGTAGAAATGTATTAACTAACAAAGGAAAAAATTAATTTTATTTTTTAGCCAATAAAACATTTGAATTAGTTAGAACACTAAAAAATATATTTAAGGAAATGATTGTTAAATAACAATTTTTTGAACCAGCATTTCAAAAGTTAATAACATTTGAGAATAAAGGATGGAGACGGGTCTGTTAATTTATATCTCTAAGCATTTTTGAACTGTTATTCTCTTGTCTACATGTTAAAATACTCATCTTTTATAATAATAATTGAAAAAAAATTTCAACCAGTGATTTACTTATTTGTAGACCAGTTTATCATATACATTTTCACTCAAGTTTATGTAATTTTAAGGAGAAAGAAAGGGGATAGAACTATTTTTTTTGTACTAAGGAAAATTAATTAAATTACCACCAACCTAATATTTAAATAAAAATATTAATATTAGTTAATTGAAATCCTCCAATATCATTTGTATTAAATAGCATAAATTATGTCCAAAAATGCAGTACTTAGTTGATATAGATTACAAAAAAGTAGTTACGATATTTTGGAAGATTCTATTTCACTCACTAAACGTTCTTAAAAAAAATAACTTTAGAAGAAAGCTGGGGAGTGATAATGATTTTATTATTGGCGGAAAAAACAAAAATAATAACAAAATCATTGATTGAGAAAATAAGTATTTACATTATAACCTCAAAGATTGATTCATCATAATTTACTGAAAAGATTTAATTAAAAAAATTACGAAAAGAATAACATAAAAAAAATGTTTTGTGATTAACGTAACCTTATAATTAAAACAATATGGCTATAAAAAATTAACTTTTATAACACGTGTTTTTTGCGTGTTCAGATAGTTACAATACTCACTTCATAATATGGTGTTATAATAATAATAAAGTACAATACAAAAAGAATCCCAACAGTAAATGTTTGTAGACTACACAGCTAAATTATAAAATTTTAAAAATGTAATTATTTGAAATAAAAAAAAATTAACTTGAAATGTAAAACGCTGAATTGGAGACGAACGCAAAAAGTAAAATGACTAGAGATACAGAAACCTTTACAATTAAACCTGTGTCGTAGCGTACATACTACCAACTGTAATATGTTTTAGCGCAATCTAGTATCAAAACTGTCTTAAAAATTTTTTTTTATAAAATTTTTACAATGTAAGTAGTTTTCATTTTATTTTTTAAATACCTCACATTGATGAACATATTTATCATAAAGTGCTTCAATGCAGAATTGTGTCATTTTGAAATGTGTCTAGACTTTAAAATGTAGATTTTTTGGAACATTTGTAAAAATTGAAGTACTTTTCTTTTATGAAATTTTGTCATTTTTTTACTATGCAAACGACTTCATAAGTAATTTTTTTTTTATATTAGAGTTAGTTTTAAAAGATTTCATTTGATGTAGATTATAAAAACGCAGAATTGACTGCTAACTTTTTAAATTGAAAAAAATAAATGTTAACTCCCTCGTTTTTTAATATTTTATCGAATTTTCAAAAGGCATGTTGTCCATATAATATTGATAAAAAGCTAATTGTTTATGGTGTTACATATATTTTAAGAAAAATTATTAACTCGTGGGGTTAACTTTTAAGGTTGGGTTTAGCAACAAAGTTCCAAATTTTTTCTTTTTTTTTTGTTATTTTCTTTATGCACATTCACATTGAAGTTTTAGTCATAATGTTAATTACTGTCAATTTAAATCAATAATGATGTCCATTGTTGCATTATAATTGTACTGTGTAAATTATATTTTTTAGTTTAAAAGCTTTTTATATGTACAGTATGACAAAAATTTTTGTCTTTATATTTTATTTAAAGGGTGGTTAACACTATTCAGACTATGATTGGATGTACCCTAGGGAAATTTGAGTATTGGTTTCTTATAACCTTTTTAGGGTGATCAGATGTTTAAAACAAAAAAGGGGACTTCTTTTTTTTTGTTCTTATATAATTTAAAAATTTGAAGTATCAATAAGTTCCATTCATGTTTTCAGGAAAACAAAAAAAACGGTAGCACAGTGGGGTCGCGGCATAGTATATAGCATTACTACGACATTGCATAGTAGGGTCCAGTATAGATTTAATCTGACAGTGATTAAAATCACTATCATAAGAAACGCTTCGATGCAAATCTGTAGAGTGTTTAATTTTAAAAAATTGATGGATAATTGCAAAAGCAACATCAACTTCTATTAAAATAAAATACAAAACCCATAATTATCATACAAAAATAGTATATTTTTCAATATGGTAGCCATTTGCGTATAGAAGATAGATCGTCGGGACAAATTTTTTTTTT